AAAACGTACATGTTATACAACCCACATGCACACTCCGCATTCCGTGGACCTCCTATTAGAGTAAGGGAACATTGGCTTTTTGCTGTATTTTTTGGCAACACTGACCGATTTCACGCCTTTTGACCTCTAGAAATGGGACCCTCTTGAAGTGAGTGCCAATTCGTGTGTGTAACCTACGTCACGCACGCAGCAATCACAAACAAAATTACAAATAGAGCTCCGTGCTTTGTGTCAGTTACAATGCAAATGATCAGGCGATATCAATTTGGTGACAAGGCAGATGTCGTGCAAATAACATCTGTTATTTGGAAATGCGATCTGTTGTATGTAGATATAATAGCCCTTGTCACGTTTCACCTGAATGCATCAATAGCGCCTGAAGTAAAAGAATGATTTCTAACTAAAATTCATCCCAAGAAACACTCGTATCGGAGTTTTACCTATGTATTCAGTTCTTCGACTGATATGTCCAGTACTGCATGTATGGTTTACCTTGAATGTGTTCGGACACCGAACTTAAATGTTATTCATTTCTGATAATGACACCAAGGATTCCTCAAAAGCTCTCTGAGGAAACCTGTAGAGAGGGGACATTAAGGAGCAGTTACATTTTTGGAAGTGGGGGGAATATTCTGGGTAAAACCAACGGAATCAGGTAGGGACTGAAAATCCAATCCACATGTGGACCGGGCCGGTATTCGAACCCGTACCGCAGAGGTGGAAGGCGAGGAAAGAACCATTACGCCAACCTGACTCCCCCGTTGTGGTATTAATTCTTGACGTATAACTTGGGCAACAGCTTTCGTCCAGTGAGTAGAAAGGATCCTTGTGAGTGACATAAACTCGGGAAAACAAAATTGTTCCTGTTTTTGTATCCAGTTCTGAATTTTCTTCTTCTGAGAAATACGGTACACTTTTTTTTCGTTGGTGTGACACAAGAACCAATCCAAGGTCATGTTCGTGTTTATGCAAACACCGTAGGTTTCCGAGAGCTTTTCGCGTCATTTGATCTTTGATGGCCTTGCCAGGGTTCTACAGGCCTTCATTGATGTCACGGACTCAAACTCCAGGTCATTCCTAGTAACTTGGTAGGGGCGTAAATCTGGGGGAAATGGGTATAAACTTATCCAACCCACTTTTGACCCAGGAGTGAACTATTGGATCAACATGCCCACATACACACAAAACCTTTTCTTCGGTGAGGTGACAGGAGAAGAAAAACAGTGGATTTAGAGGGGTTTTTCAGTCTTCCCAACAACCAACATTTTATTCAATACATGTACATGCAAGGGGAGAAAAAGGAACAAAAGTTTTAAATTCGTCATTTTGATGTAATAACCATTGTACATATGTATCATGAATAACGCCCCCATCCGCCCGAATTGAAGTGCACCCCAGGTGACAAAAAAAAATTTGGTGGTAAGTTTTCCAAGCGGGTTCTTGCACGCGTTCTGCGTGTACGCAAAGACCATTAAAAAAAATTCGTCACGTGTACTCGGCGTAGGCCTACCCCGTGTCAAATGCACCACTGATCTCCATTATAAACGCGCCTGTGCGGTGGGTACTAAAAAAAACACGCCCTCTTTTGTTCTGCTCGGAGCGGATAGTGGCGTGTGGTGTCCATCCAGCAACCCCATCTCCGCTTTTAGAATTTCCACTATTGGACATTTTCGATTTCATTCATCCCCAATCCCCCTCGTCCCAGCACAGATTCATGCCATAGCTTGGAAGCCCCATAACACGCATACTTGCCGTGATGTTGAAGTACGTTATGCAATAATGCAAAACTTACAGTCCGATACTCAGTGGACTTCATAGATCGTCGGAGAAAAAGAAACCACCGTTTACATTGAAATTTCAAAAGTAAAATTAAAATGTTATGCGATGCTCCTAAAAACTGGGGGCACTTTTGTTTTAATGATGCCCTTATGGGTCAAATAATGGATGAATTGGCGACCAGGGGTGGGAATCATGAGTAGGCCCAGGAAAATGAAGAGCATGTGATAAACATTGTACGGAACCACTGTTTCGAGACCCAAAACAATGCTTTCTGCCGCTTAAGTCCAGTGAAACATTGCTGAATTTTTTGTATGGTTTTACCAACCTCCATTTGTATATAGATGCGGTAAACTAATTCAAACTCCATTTCAAACAGTGTAAAATCAATAATTGAATAACCGGAACCCGGGGCAACCGACCGAAGTCACTGAGGCCTCTCAAATAAAAAACAGTGTGTGGTTTGGACCTTCGGATTTCATTTGATTTTCAAATTTTAGTTGGTTAACCGATACATTTTTAATTATTCGCCCCAAACAAACTCACCCCCGCCCAAAAAGTGAACGGTCAAGTCTTCTCAGCAGCCATATTTCAAATGAAATATCTCAACTTTCTGAGGCTCTTCTCACAATTTTTACTTCTGTCTGCTTTGCCAGATGGGAGCTCCTGAAACTTACTTACACAATCCCACAATTTCTTGGCCCACACAGACTCTTCTTTTCGAAAGAACCTGTAGCTTTTAAGCGCCTGCGCCCAGCGGAGCCTTCCTTGAACTGGGACAGTGCACCCCCAGTGTGCGTTTCTTCATTGCGCAAGGCATGGTGGGAACCAACACGGCGCGGAAAGATTGTACCCTTGGGAACGAGGTTGAGTTTCGACTCATGCGTAACCCCGCACTCTGCCGCTACAAACAATTGAGCACAGCACGACGTGGCAAATGCGAGTGACAACACTCGTCAACCACAAGCGGTCGACAAAGCAACAGTCGTCGTTTGCCCTCAGTTAAAACTGCACAGCGCCCCCTCTTGTTCTACCTGACCATCCCAAGATTTTGCAAACGCTGAAAATAAAATCTAGCATTTTTACTCCAAAGCAGTAACCTAAAGAACCGTCACAAGTTTAGGTTGGGGGAATGAAACGCACGCGCACAGGGTCGCGCGCGTTGTGGCTCAGACCGCCCGAAGTATGCCTGGGAAATTTCTACTGCAGCGAATTTCGGAATTTTTTTAAATTAGAAATTCGTGCTACCGATATCTACTGTGCAAAAACGTTTGTGTTAAAACAACACTTTCTGGTGTTATCAGATTATCATGTCAAATGTTGTTTTAACACCACTGGTGTTATTTTACACAACTTGTAAATTTGTTTCCAGTGTACAATATTAATTAATACAAGTGCTACAATTCACTTAAGGGTAACACCATCCGCGTTTAAATAACACCGAAAGTGTTGGCGTGATCCTCTAGTGATAAGTAATAAGAATGAATACTGTGCATCGGGTGCGTCTGTTACAAATAATGTTTGGAGGAAAATCAGTTGAAATAATGATGACTCAGTATGAGTTTTTGTCGGGATTTCGCGGTGCGCGTGCAAAACCAACACAAAGGACCGGTTCACAACGAACCGGGTACACTAGAACCATTTCCTGAACTGTATTGAGCACCTGGAAAACGACATCAATCATCCCAGCTTGGGTTTGTGGGGGAATAATTCTTGCCCCTTTTATTCCTGTAAACCATGCATAACGGGAAATGGGCTGCAACCACTGAACGGCTGTCCGAATTATTTGGCTGCGGCTTGGAATTATACACAACCGTGCAGACATGGCTGCAAACACAGTCATACTTGTGCCTAATCTCAAGCCGCAGCCAATTCGTTTGGACGCGACTTACTTCAACTGGAGTGTATAAAAAAACTTTAAAAAGACATTCGCCCAGAGTGGTAACTAGAGTCGAAGAGAACGCACCTGAGATTTTTGGCAGTAATCAGAAGCGTGCATACTGCAAAATTGATTCACTGTGTTCATTTATTGGAGCTTACTGTATACGTCTTTTGACTAAGTTGACTTGAAAAGATTATCGAAACTCAGTGCCGCAACACGACACGTCACTGCGAGAGCTTCACACTCACAGTTAAAATCAAGTTATCTCGCTGAACGTGGGTTCCGTTGAAGGCTTTACTGCTTCCAACACCTACAACAGTGCGCACACTATTCGGTAGCATAAACCCATGCTCAGTGACAGAAGGCAGACAGTACTTCTTCGATGAGAATTGTTTTCTTCCCGTACGTTGGACAACAAGAATCGTTTTCTTGATGGCCAGTGGAATCAGTATCACACGCTGGACCGGACCAGATTTCCTCAGACCTTCGGCCGCTTTCGTTGTTTTACTCCTAGCTGGAATTCGGACGACAGTACTTGTAAGTGACAAAAATCCTAGCATCCTTTCAGACAAGATTTTCCAGGAGTAGTGGGGCGCGTATCGTGCGACGTGTTCGACCGGACACGTAGCAGCTCCTCACGGCGGCCGTGCAGACTCGAAGCTATCACCTTGTAACTCGGTAGGGAATGTTGATATAAAATCAATGCAGAGGGCAAAAGACGCAAACTTTGAGCACTGCATGCCTGGCTACACGAAACAACTCAGTGTACATGTTCTTCGGTCATATTTAGCACGACCGACCGGCTTAGATTGTTGGAGTTGATCATAGTAAGTGAACAGGAATGGTTTCGGCAGTGGACTGCAGTTTTGGAGGTTTGCCCTTGAGTTCCCGATTGAAACATGAGTGAGGTTAAAAGCTGTGCCCGTAGAGTGTGTTTTTTAATGTTTTGTTTACCCCGCGTATAGGCCTATGCGGAGAGTATGGATACAGATAGGGCAGTGGAAAATGAAATAATAGAATGACAACAAAATATAACTGGAAGGGGTTCATAAGAACCACTGCTTGTCAAGTACAGACTCCCTAAATTATGTTGATTGTAGATTGGGAACACCGAATGAGGAGAGAAATTACTCATTAAGCTACAATCAACGCGATATAAAAACTAGATATAACTTGTAAGGACATGACAGTAGAGAAATATGGAATATAAACTCAAGAAAGAAACGTAAAAGTACAATTACAAACGAACAATAAGATTAAGGAATTTTGGGACGTCAAAAACTATTAAACCTTATAGTCAGGTAAGAATAATGGAAGTATGAATTTAGTGTAATTAATATACGTACGTGGGAAACGTTTTCCAATTCTTTTTTCAAAGACTGTCTTTTTTTCTAGACCAAAAGGCTTAAAGTTGAGGTTAATCGGTCACAGTTTGCTCAAGCTTTGAACTTCACCTCTTTTGAAGAAAATGAACACATCCTGTAACTCAAGTCACTGCTCTGAAGCTGCGCGCGGGTTAGACCCCCGGTGTGCCTAAACATTGTGTGGGCAGATCATTAATCATTGTCTAAGAAGCCTGGGGCGTGAAACTTTGAACTCTCATACGCCTCAAGCTCGAAAGATTTAGCCACCGATCGTTGTGTAATGAAAGCAAGCATTGAAGTGACCTTTTATAATTCGCATACATGTACCAAGTATTTTCCTAAGATAGCTCCCTGCTTTTTAATTTATAATGGCCTTCAATGAAATTGTTAATAAATACGGCCGCCCGTCGGGCAGTTTCCGATGTCCTTCAAGACTAAACCATGACGACACAGAGGTGAAACTCAACCAAACGGTTGTGAGTTTTAGTAGGAAATTGTAAACTATTTTGTTTTGTAAAATCGGCGATAATTCGCCTTTTTTCCCAAAAATTCTTAAACATTCGTAAACTTCAGATCAGTTTGTAATATATATTGCGCTTCCTGTGTCATTAAACGCACTACAGTTGAAAAGCTTCGGTGAGATGCAACATACTCAGTGGCTGAATAAGAACGTGGACTCACTTGGGCCTTTCCCGCAGTGTTACGTTTATCCTGTGAGTTGGCCTAGAAAAATCTCACATTTTCTGTTTCAGACCACACGAGTCCTTGCTCGAGTCACCCCTCTTCGTCATCCCAGCGGTTTCCAGTGAATGAAAGTGTTTAAGCATTGCCTCGAACCATTTACATAATGTGATACACATTTCCGTGAGCTTGCGTCCTCCAATTTGACGACAGGTCAACGACCTATACACGTTGCTACGGCGATGTTTTCCTGAATTTCTTGTCTGGTTTCGTTGAGTTGATTCACTTTTACGAAACTTTGTATATACACCTTCGATAAGCTCGATTAAATAAAAATCTCCTAATTTCATACAGCGGTGATTTTCATATTTGGCGCCTGATCTGATCATTTATACAAGACTGCATTTTTCCCATTTGAAGACATTCCATCGCGTTAGAGTTACACAGGATCGAGAGTAAGATGTTCGCTCACGCGTGCCCAGATCAAAGCAGTTGCGTGATCAAAGCAAAGATTTTAATTCAGCCTCAAGTGATCGCAAAGGTGCCTTCAATTTTGAGCAGTCTTCAGCGCTGCGTGGCAAGAAACATACTGTGAAAATTATTGGTCGTTAAAACACTTCACTGAATGCTGTGTGCCAGATGAGTGAACATGTTTTCGCACGTCTCACGTTTGCTTCGGAGAACCGAAACCCGTCACGATATCTGTGATGAAAGACGTTTCGCTGTGCGAACTGGTACGAGAGACTGCCCATGATTGGTTTCAGGATTCAGTGCCCGGATTAGGTGACGATAATCCTGATATATAGACGTGGTTTGTATTACCACTGTACATGTGCGTGTTGGCAGAAACTCTCAACAAGTCACAAGTATAAACATCATACATAGGCTTTAGGGTATAGAACTTGGGGCTCGTCGTATGCAGTGTTGGATGTTGGCTGAAAATGAGTTAACTGAATACTGTACTTTATCCAAAACTTGCAGTTCAAAGATATTGTCAAACACTGGGAATCTTCTCCACGTTTGTGCTATATTGTTAATTGGAGAAAACGGAGAAATGATTGCAAAATTCACACAAGACAAATTTGGACAGTGTTCATTTAAATATATGGTTTTCTATGGGTATTTGGATTATGTTTTGTTTTTAGCGAACTACTGCGAACTCTCTACGATGTCCTTTAAATGCCCTAATCCTATAATAACAGTTTTTTCTGTGATACGCGAAGAACCTAGTGATGTTCTTTAACTTTGAAAATAAAATGTCTATACGCATTTGTAGTCAACACAAGATTACGTTAATATCTTGCCTTTCGTTTATCTTTTGACTTAGTTCAAAATGGTAAAAAGAAGCCGGTCTAAAACATAAATAGAATATTATCAACTCGCGTGTTGTTTTTGTTTTCACTGGTTTCGCGACATTTCAATTCATACATACACTCTTCTTAATTATTTACATTGAAACGACCTGAACATGTGCGACAAAATTAAGAAGTAACAGAAATTACAGGGAAAATGCTGCTGGCAACCATGGACCGATCGTTTTAATATTTTGTTCTTTTGATTTTCTACAGGTCTCAGGCGCTAGCATCCCGGCGATCGTGCCGCTGCAGGCGAAACACCGTGAGTACTGTTGAGGATGATTCTTTTTAAGGAAAGTGGAAAATTCTGAGGAGCTGCATAAACGCTTTGATGTTCAAGCTCGCTGTATAGACCGCAGCGAACTACTATCCTTATTTATAACCTCATTTCAATAACATCATTAAACGCATCGTCTGACATCAGCCGGCCCGAGGAGGAAATCAGATTTAAACGTAATAGCTGTTTATCACAATTTTCTTTTTCAAATATAGATCACCTCATTTCGAAACTGTCACAATATGAACTGGTCAGACCGTATAGATCCACACCTGACGGCAACTTTCTGAGCCACGATCTCTCTACGGCCAAGGAGGAAGAGCGGAATGTCTACGAGCGCGCCAAAAGAGACACGCTCGAGAATCATCGATACGGTGGTCGCGCCGCGCGCAACGCCCGCAGTACATCGCATTCACACCGAATAACCGGTGATGACCTCCACGATGACCTCAGGCAGAATCACCACTTCCGGGTCGACGCGTTCGGCGAGCGGTTGACGCTGAACGTCACGCGAAACCGTTTCCTGATTTCACCCAAAATGAGAGTTGAGCGGTATAACGAGGACGGCACGAAAGACGTCTACCGACCCAACGTACTATGCTATTACATCGGCGGTGTGAATAACGATCCACGGTCTACCGTTGCTATTAGCAACTGTGACGGATTGGTAAGTACCAAATTTTTGTGTTCATAACCTTGCAAAATCTGGGACCGCTTACATCGGCCGATTTGATCGTCCAAAATGTCTCTCCGTTTGATACACGAAATAAGAATGCTTCTTGAGGTCGACGGACAAAATCCATAGTAACAACAACGGCGTAGTTCATGGTAAACTCTCTGAATGTCCCTGCATGTTGAAAAGAAAATAATTTCATAAAATGCACCCTCATGACACTTAGTGATAGGAAACCTTTAGTTAAGGCATTTGGGTCAATGACCTACACAGCAGATCGGAATTTCACGTAAATATGCTCCTAGCTGTGTACACACAGTCCCTTAAAAACAGTTCAAGCTGTGCGGAATAACAAATGTATCTGTGGAGTGGGCGGGAAAGTCGACTAGCGATGAGACGATGATAGCATTGGGCGTAAACATTATTGGTCGGAGCGTTTGTTATGTGGTTAACGCGTCATCGTCCGTGGTTCACGGCCGGTTCTCATTAATTTAGGCCAACTTTGTAACCATAACTGGGTCGCCTAGTTGCGAAAACAGTATAATCAGCAGAAGTACGGTATTATAAATCACTGATCGGGTAAAGGTACAGCACGCGTTCACTGAAAATAAGGCCCCACAAAATCGTTAAGCCATTAGGCTCAACGATTGAAAAGGTCTTGCTCCAGGGCTCATGCGCACTCACCGTACCTCCGAGGGTCTGTGGGAAAAACACAGGTGCCCTCGGGGTTATGACTGCCATGCGAAGGTCTGTAGACACTTCGTTTGTTTATAAACATTGTCAGTAACTTCGCATGGGCCGTCATTATTGTGTGCATCAACTTATGCCGTGGTTCGTTAAAATTCTCACGGAAAATTCAATTTTTTTGGAGATGTTTAAAGAGGAATCATTCCCACCGTGCCTTAAAATGTGGTATGTTGAAGCATATAGTAGAAGTTGGTGAGTACGCTGCTGTGTCGACTGCTCATTATCAGCCCGTAATGAGCAAATTGCGTAATCCAACAACGCATGCTCGAAATTAATTAAGCGCGTCGGGGGTCAATTGCGAACTGCAGTGCGCGCGTGAGAGGTCTGCCCAATCAGAGTGCTCCTCGCCGACTGAGGCTGATGGCGTCAGTGTGACGTCATGTGGTTTGTTCTCGAATTTTCTTGCCTTATGATGCGGCAACAAAGATGAGAGATCAGATAAATATTGAATGGCTGCGTAGCACCGTGATCAGAATATCGACAAGAATATAATATCAAATCAGTGCTCTGAAATATGTGATTGCCGAGCTTTCAGTAACTGAGTACCTTCTTCAGGGCAAGCAGATTCAGTTCTGAATGAACGCGGAAAAATCCACGTTCATCCCCCCTGGATGCAGCGTTCCAAGTTCGAAAATGACGCGCTGCTCCAGTTCCTTACGCTGTACACCAGATGACGCTTTCCGCGGGATGCAGCCGCTTACGTCGTTGATGCGCTTTCCTTCACGCTCGTCATTCTGCGAAAAAGTACGATGGCACATTGCTACTTTTGATTTGAGTCGATTCGAGAAGTTGAACGACCGGTTGACTTTCAGCGATCAAAGCTCATTGATGTGTCACTAACAAGAAAAAGAGACCAGCCCATCAGTGCTTCGGGGCAAAGCATGACACAATGAGCTTGTACAAAGGACTAATTTAGGGCTTTGTGGAGGTACAGAAAAGGGGATTCTTGATAGGATTCTTGACAGACCAAATTGAAATTGCCCTCAAGAGCCCGTTTGGCGTTGTGCGATGTCGGATATCAAAAGTCATAAACATTGGGGTGCATATAGGTACCTATGGCCTATAATCAATTACCATGCCGTGCATCTCTGCAAGAGATTCATCGCGTTCAGTTTGTTATACGGTTTTGATCAAGCCCATATACCGTTTAGATCCGTTGATGGCATAGGGACATGGACTCCATTTCGTGATCAATACTTTCTCTGCGGTTCTTAGAAATGAGATTATAGAAGTCACCGGATTATTGAGTGCCTGTAGTAATCATTCTCCGTGTGAAGGGTTTACCCCCCTTGCCGTGGTACCGCTTTCTTCGGTCTTTACGCTCAATTAGTTCCCAACGATTGCAGTAAGAAGCTCATTTAAAGGCAGCGAAGTGTACATAGCAACCATTACATCCAGGCGAGGAGTAATTGTTAGAAAAACAGGCCTGGATACTGTGTTCGATCTACTCACTCTAGGCCTAATTACTTCTGATAATGAAACCAAGGTAGTTTTCGAAGTGGCCAGGAAGGCATTGTTGGCCAATCTTCCATGGTATTTGGAGGCTTGAAGAAACCTCGAGAGATATTCTCTCAAGAGTGAGTGTCTTATAAATCACCCCAAAAGAGTGGAAACCACTGAGTAAAAACCACTCTAAAAAGAGCGACAACAACCACTCCATGCAAAGAGATAACTTTCTCTCCTCCAAGGAGCCATATGAAGGACAACTCCTTTATATGGATCCTTTTTGTAATTTCATTTCAGAGTGACCGCTTCACTCTCTTACGTTCGGAGAGTAGAAGAAAACGCGAAACAATTTTCAATTCGAAAAATGGAAAGAAAACCCATGGGGTGAAATGTTGAGAAAAATACACAGAACATTACAAAAGACTGAAAAGAGTAACGTGGCAATACATGTACTTAGGTTAGGAAAAACTACAAGCAGACCGTGTGGCACTCCTGGGTCACCGTTGTGGGAGTTGCCGAGCGAAAAATTTGCCAAAGCGCGACCGGTGTCATGCTAAAAACTGCCCTGTGTGAAAAAAGTGTCTGCTCACTCCCCAGGCCTGCACCGCAAAAATGATTGAAGTGTTTTTCAGCGGTACAAGAAGTTCCTGTATTGAGTAGGATAAAATAATAATAATAAAAACTCTCGTGATGTTCTTTTCCAACAGCTATGGTTCGATCTTGGCAAATATACTGTCTGACCTTACAAAATAATGCCCGTTTTTGCCAAATGATATTTGCATCTAGTATCTGCCAAATGTAAACTCGCTGGACGACGACCCTGATTTTTTAGCGGGCTGTTTTTAGCAGGACACCGGCCAGTGGTAGTCTGTGTCATCCGTTGCTGGCCGGCCAGTGGCTCGACCGTTCCGTTTAATAAGCGAGCGTCTGTTGGGTCGTTGCGCCGAGGAAGAAACTCTCCCGAACGGCCTTTATTAGTACTGCAGATGTTTCGTTGACTTTCACCTCAGATTTGACATATGGAATTTATGTTTAATACCAGAGAAATCCTTCGAATTTGTTATGAGTTCTGTTGTGTTTTTGTTTGTACAATCTCTTCTGGTCCTTTTGCTAAGATCTACTTGTGAGTATTGCAAACTTTTTGCGGATATCATTTATGAATGCTGTGACTTGAATCCTTTGAAAGGACCTTTCATAAGTATATTATTAATATACTAATATTAATATTATTAATTTTCTGTAACTTTTCAACTTTAATTCTTAAGTCTGGCATTAACCTGCAAAATATTCGCGCAAAGTGATTTTACTGTAGCTGCTCTTAAAGAAAATACACGCACGTGACAAATAATAAACAATAAGCCTGATAAGGTCGAGTTGGCCTAACAAATAATCTAGACTTTCTTGTTCCAGTTCATATTTTCTATTTTACGAACTTAATTTGCGACACATTGTGAATTTGTTTCTGATAACATCAGCAGCTGTAAATAAAAGTTTAAAAGCCGCCGATAGGTTTGAAAAATATCAACAGCAGACTCCTGGAAATCCAACTGCCATTTCAATTGGAAAATTTCACAATGATAAAAAAGGGGAGAACACTCCCGAACGCCATTTGGCATTCAATTTGAGACACATTTCCTTTGATGGGGGATGAACCTTTTCTGTGCCCCCTGCCCTTAAAATATTCCTGCATTTTTACCCCTTCACATTTCGAAAAAAAGTTTCCATTTTTCACCCTGTCTTCCAGAGTGGTTTCATTCGAACAGGGAGCGAGGAGTATGTTATTGAGCCCTTGGAATCAGTTGTAGGCAGATCACAGGTCAACATATCACAAGGTCATCTACACATCATGTACAAACCCAAAGACTTCAAGATGGATGCTACCGAGCTTCAGACACCCTGTAAGATCTGTCTCACTCACTCAAAAAACCAAATATTAACCGATTTGAAAGTGGCTTGTAAACATTATGGAATTCATATTTACATTTGAATAGAAGTATAATCTTCATGATTGGAAAAGTTGGATTTTTAAGAAAATCATTGTTAGTATTTGTAAGTGTTGGTATAACCCTTTGAATGTATAGAATTAAATTTCTCCTAAATTCTATTCATTATAATTGCCACCTGTTAGTTTGGCTTATTGGTTACTTGTTAGTTTTGGTTAATCACGCATAAGTATGATGATACCAAGGACAGATCCATTTCTACATGCTTTTTGAAGGAAGAAATATGAAATGGACCCAAAATAAATTCTCCTTTCCATATTTATTTTTTTTGGCTCTGTTTTTTGGGGAGGATGGCCCCCATTGGCTCCGCCCTCAGATGATACTGGCTATTCACAATGCAAAGATGTTGGGGATGTGTTTCCTACAGTAGTTAGGGTTGGGAACTCCCAACCACAGGCTGGGGGCTTTGAATCCCGCAATGTAAGTTGTAACCTTGGGCCCTCGCTTGTCTGTCTCCACCTGGGGGTTTTAAAGGGGTTGCTGTGAGGGAAAGAGAAGCTTTTTGTAGTTGACTAACCGATGATTGTACCCAGAGAGTGTAATTGGTTCACACAATCTTTGCGGGCCCAGTAAGCAGGGGTGATATGGTGTAATAAAGGGTTTGCCTCATTCTATTATTGCTGCTCTGAGCATGCGATGGTTAATTCTTTGTCGGGAATAGTCTTTGCGCCGTGCATTTCCCCCCTGAAAGCTGACATGGGATGATGTGATTGTTTCAGTGACAATGGACCTTCACGACGACACACCGGATGCAGAGGAGAATTTCTCCGCGAGATGGCAAGAGACACAGCACACGGAGAATCCTTCTCGCGAGAGGAGGCGGGCTGGAGATCCGGATCAGAAACACTTTGTGGAAACACTCCTTGCAGCCGACTACTCCATGGACAATTTCCACAGAGATGGACTGCCCAATTACCTCCTGACCATGCTGAATATCGTAAGTTGGGGGGAATTTTTCATATAAAAAGAATAAAAGATAAAGTTTGTACTAACCACACCCCAAAACAGGGGCATTCTGTGTCACATGAAATGGTTTTCTTTGAACAGTGGCTTTTCATCCACAGAATCACAATTGCAACGAAAATCCTGAATTATTTTTCCATCCGCATTTCTTTTGCTCTTTGCTGCACTGCTGTGCTGTTATTTTGAAGTACTTTTGAGGGTCTTTTGAAAATTGGATAAATGTGCTTCTCCTTCAGCAACTTTATTGCAGTATTTTTAAGTAAGGTTTTGGGTAACAAAACCTACAATGGAAAATTGGAAATGATGTAATTAGAATTGTTATAGTTACTTTTATCCAGGTGTAAAAACTGAGTTTCTGAGTGACTGGCTTTTGTATCTGATTAAATCATTCATCAAAATACATAAGCTTGAGGAGCCCAAGTAGTAACATAGAAATGCTGTGCTGAAATTTTCTGAAATAGCTATTGTCTTTTTCTCAACAGGTGAATGTTGCTTATCACCACGAAAGCATGCCATTTGATATTCAGTTTTCAGCATCGCGAATCATCATTCTTAGCCGAGTAAGATCTTACTGTATTCTTCAAGTTAGATAGGAGGTTACAGTTAAAATTGATGGAAAAACTAAGTTTGGAGCACTGATCTCCTAAATTTAATTTATGGTCACAGAATATTGTGAGCAAATGAATTTTTAGCCTTTTGATTTTGTCGTTTCAGACTTTTGTTTCAAATATATCTTGCAGTCTAATCGCTTGGTCGTGGAGAATCAAGCCCAGTCGAGTTTGTCTAATGTGTGTCGATGGGCAGCTATGCAGACAGTCCGTGATGACACACAACCGAATCACCACGATTTGGCAGCGTTTGTCACCAGGCTTGACTTCGGGCCAGCAGGTAAGCTCGTTAAACTGTCCTTGTAGATTTGGACGGGGCATATTTGTCCTGATTTTGTTTTTTAGGTCGACATTTTTCCTGTTGCTTCATTTTTCTTTTGTTATCAACATGCATATTCAGTACGTTTAAAGACAGAATTTAACATATCAATCACTAAAACATGCTCAGTGAAAGATGGTTTGGGTTAACCACCAAAAATTAAAGGGAACAATTGAATTTACCTCTATGAAACAGGGTTTGGCTTTTTCACGGACTGATGTATGTGTGCTTTTTAAACAGCTTAACATACCAATAGGAAGATTAATTGGAAAACTGACCCTTGAAGGACCAAAATTACCAACTTCATTTGTTTCTTTAGGCCAGAATTATGATCTGGTTACTTTTTTCTATGATTGCCACCAAAACAAACAATCAATTACCTCCGCCACTCCCGTTGGACATGGACGATTTAACCTTTCACCTTTCGGCTCAGCAAGATTTCAATTTTTGTTTTTCATCTGACCAGGCTATGCCCCAGTGACCGGTATGTGTGCAATGACCAGGAGTTGTGCCTTGAGCAGGGATGAAGGCCTGTTGTCTTCATTTGTTGTGGCCCACGAGGCGGGACATGTGTGAGTTGTTTTTTGTGTCGTTTCTGCGCGCCAAAATTTTGGACAAGTTTACCTATTCAAGTTTATCATTGAGCGAGGAAAACAATCGGAATTCAAACTGAAAATTGTCAAATGCAAGAGATTTGATGAGCTATTTAACGGCATTTCGGGATTCCTCTGTTAAATAGAGCCAGAGTCATTTGAAATCATGCTCTTCTTACTGACGTGAAGTCTGGTGGTATTTGAGAAAACAAAGAGACTGGGCATTTCATTTTTGGTTTGTACATATCATGGAAATACCTTAAAGGGAATTGAATGCCTTAAAACAGGTGATTTTTAATCAGCAAATATGCAGGAAAATCTTGGAGCTGCGACATAAATTTGTCCACGTGCCGTGTTTTTGCTCTTTACTGTTGAGGCTTGATGCATTGAGAAATTATTATATTCAATGTCTTTTATTTCCAAGATCGCTTAAGTTAACATTGTCAAGATTATTAGTGTTTGGCCTGTTGAGCGGTATGAAAATTATCTGATGAAATGAGATGGAACAAATTCTGAATTATGCACCCTGCGAGTATAAATGTGCAAGTATAATATGCGAATAACATCCAACTTCATTGCTTTGAACAGAAGCACGGCTCAAGAAAGAGCCTCGCCAAGCATTTCTCTTCATATATGCCCATTCATCTATGTTACTTACAAAGCAAATTAAGAAAAAAACTGCTCATTTACTAATTGTGAGATGAGGCTTTCAGTGTATCAGCCTTATTACGGCGTAGTTTTAGTATACAGGTGCAGATATGCAAAGAGCTGAGCGAAGCCGTACTAAATTTCAAGTTTTTCCATAGGTTTGCGCACAAACATTTATACACCAAGCAGATGTCATCCAGCAGGTGTCACTTCAAACGGCAAGTTTGTGCACTGATAATTCAGTACTGCTGTGTGGTTCGGTCTTGGTTGTATAGGTTTGGTATGGAGCATGACGGCAGCGGCAACAGGTGCAGTACCGAGCCATATCACGGCTCCATCATGGCGCCAGTTGTTATTTCCACCTACACCGACCATTTCTGGTCAGATTGCAGTATCCAGGAACTCCTTCGTTACATCGGGTGAGTTGGTCAGTTTATCCACTTTTTAGTTTGATTGGCTGGCCACTCAAATGCATGAATCTGTCACCAAGGAAGAGGTCTGTCTTCATTTTATCAAATGATAAGTCACAACCTTAAGTATGCTCTTAAAATGCCAAATTTTTAAACAGCACAACAATAAACATCTCTTTTTTAGACAATGTAATTTGTATTTTTACTCAAAAACTGTTTCATTTGTGCTTGTTTAAACAGCATTGAGTGAAACAGGTTCTAAGGTGTGGCCAGATTCGGAAACTTTATAAAAAGGAGTACAGGTTTCCATTTCATTAAGGAAGCCTTCTTAAAATCTTCCTTGACTTTATCTAGGAACTATGAATGTCTCGAGGATGACCCATTTGATAATGGCATTGCGGAGTTTGAAGGATACCCTGGTGAATGGTACGACATGGACCAACAGTGTAAATTTGACTTTGGGAACGACTTTGAGCTGTGCGGAAGCGTAAGTATAAACTCTTGTGTATTTCCTATTGTTAAAATTGACTGTGTGCCCCTAATAACTGGAGCTTCATATTATGTGAACCAGGAAAATTGACCTAGAGAAATATTTGATCGTAAAGTGACAGTCAGTTGAAATTTTGAACTCTTGATGGGACTACAAATTCACTTACATGTACCATTACTATACAGTTCGTTTTGTCTGTAACAGATGCCTAAAAATCATGGGTGATTATATTTTAGATCCTGTTGATGAGGCACAGTTTGACGTTTCTTTATTTGCTTGTTTGTTCAGTCGCCTTTTTCAAATAATCATGTTGAATATGTTTATTTTCTCAAGTTTGATTGTTTTTCAGTGTTGTCACTAATTGGAATTCATCCATTCCTTTCTGATTTCCAATGTTTTCCCCTTCATGGTATTCGTCTACTCTGTTTGTCTAGCATTTCATTTCTTCCAAGTGAACAGATTCATCCGCCTTCCATATATTCGATTTTGTGATCCGCCCCCCAAGTGGTACATATCTCTTCAGTTCTATGTCTTTGAGTGCATGTGTGTCCTGGTGCCGCATGCTCAGTACCATGATGAGTTTGACAAAGATAGTATGTGAGTGTAGTGAAGCATGATTGCATATATTGCCCTGCTTCCAGCTTCGACATTGCAGCGTCCGTTCTGATCACTGCCAAGCACAAACTGGTTCTTTGTCAAGTTCCAGGGCTGCATGTGTCCCTCATTCCTGGAACGAATTAATGTCCGGCCTCCACCATCAGCAATGAATTTGTTCTGGCCAATCTTGGAAATTCAGTTTCATTCATCAAGGGGTGCATTTCATGGTGACGCGCCCGGCTTGTGTTGCCAAATAGGGTAGTGATTTTTATGCCCAGAGCTTAGATTCCTGGAATAATATGACTATGAGTTGCTATAAATTCAGATGGGATCAATTAGATCCACAATCCAGCGGATGTGAAGTTAGTTGCTGGAAGGAAGACATTATTTCAGCACCATTATGTCACTTGTTTTGCCAGACTTTCGGATTATCACTCAGGAAACTTGTGGATGTGAAATTCAAAGAAATCTGAGTCACCATTTATAAAAAGAAAAGTTCTGTCATCGAATACTCGTGTGTTCCTCTGTGGACATATTACATTCATTTCCATTTGGCTCATTGACTGTGATTTGTTTGTTTTGGTTGTGAGATTCTTCTGCCTGTTGTCTGTCGTGGTTTCCCTGTCACTTCCCCCTCACCGTTGTCCTTTCAATGTGAGACCAGTTTTTCAATTATTTATGTTCTAGGGAGTCAAGTGGTCAATTTGCTTGAGAAAACAATAGAATGACAGTTCACTGGGCTTCACCTAGTGCCTCAAATTTGTCGAGAAAAACTTTCTCTCTTCTAGTTTTTTTTTCACCTTGTCTGATTATTTTTGGTGTTCATTGTACTTAGTCAATGGGTGTTATATGAGTATTTCACTCAAATGATTGTTGAAGAGTTTAAGTTTTCCATCTCTTGTTCAAACAAGTACGATTATAGGCCTAACCCCAGAAATCTCTTAGCGAGGTGTCTGCAGGTGATTTGAAGTGTTGATACCAGTATTTTGTGAAACCTCGATAGACGCAGCTGTGAAACTTTTCTCATTTTGGAGCTTACATGTATATCCAAGACATTATGGCCTTCCTGAAATTGGTTTTTCCAGACTTCCGGCGGAGTATTAGCTCCAGATTGTACCAAGAATATTTTTCTCATGACTTACTGTGCTACAGCCACTTTTGTATTCTATCAGTTGGTCATCTTACAAAATCCTTAAATTCCCTGATGCCAGAGAGATAGGTTATTTTCCTCCCTGGGGGCGAGTTTTGAGCAGGAACTTTGTCAAAACTTCATGCCCAGTCATACAATTTTGGCTTCACATTTCAGGGCCGATGGATTTACCATTGTTTATCCAGTGACCTCTGCTCCATGGGGAACCAGTTTCATTTTCAGCCTACAGTGTCTGTCATTGCACTGTTCCTTCTAGATTGCTTTTTCCCAGAACAAGGAATAATCAATATATTGTATATTGTGCAGTAAATCTCATGACCTCCATTTTCTGTACATTTTAAGTGATTTCACCTCAAGTTGTCCCTGGTATTTGGCAATGTCACTCCCATTAAAGGTACCATAGTCATCTTTTTTTCCCCCGAGATATATACAATATATATATACAATATTCAAGAATTATTTTTTTTAGGGGGTGGTGCTGTAGGTTACATGTAGATTATGTAAATGGCCTGGTGTTGATGTTTAACCTCTGTAGATTAACACCTTACATGAAGATGATGATACGTGTATTGCCTATTTTCTGTGTTTGGGCTGTTGTAGTTGCGGTCTTTCAGGTGGAATATAGTGAATGAGATATTGTCACAGCAGAGCAATTTTTATAAAACGTTGATTCGCAACAAATTATTGTCCTGACATTGTAAATTTCTTCACGGTGTTTAAAACATTCTTATTACCTCAATTAAGGGTTCGTATGTCCTGTCTCTGGTTTTCTGTGACAGCATATTCAAGGAATTCAAGACTCCTTCCAGCAGTTTTGGAAAATTTCCAGGTGGAATGGCTGAAAAACAGTGCCGTTGAACGTGACAAGTGAAGCAAAGTTATATTCCTCAACAAAATATCATCAACGAGCCATTTCTAACAAAGTAGACATTAGTGCCAAAATGAAACTTATTTCCATTTGTTGGCTTGCTCATCATTACAAATTACAATGTCTTAAATGCTAGACGTCTTTTTCTTGTTGTTTTTTTCCTTGTTCTATAAGTGACTGAATTCAGTTCCCATTGTTGGCATCTATAATTTACGAGATGTTCCCAGTCTCAAGTTTCCCCAAAGCCAATTGGCAGTGCTACTTGATCTCATTCACAGTGCTAGCTGGATTGAATCAACTTGATATCAAGTATGTCTATTTGAAGCCATAAATTTTGTTTTCTCTGTGTGCCATGCCAGGAGCTTGGAGCTTCTGCTGAAAGACCCTAATGCAATCATGTAACATGACGACTTGTCAAAGTCTTGTGTCACTGGTTTTTATGTAACCTCGGCTGTACCCTTCAATTACGCTGTGAAGGGACAGACTGATGGGAAACAGCTGACAAAACTGTGCAGACAAGTTGGTGCTGACAACTTGAAGTCATGTCCCAAGTTTAAAGTGTCAGCATGTACATGACCGACATGATGATAAGAGACAATTCCGACTAGTTCTCAAAAGAAAATGTATCTCTTTATTCTCCTAACCTTGCACCTCTCCTGGTGTGACTTTGCAGCCTGTTACTGGCTTGCTTTCTTAGCTTGCAACAGAACTTGGCATGATTTCACACAAGATGAAATCGAACAAACCTTGTTGAACTGTGTCAGAAATTTCCTAATTGGGTGAATTCAAATGTGAGATTAGGGGTAGGGGGACCAATTACAGGCTAAACCTGCATTCATTGGAGTCGTTTGTCATGGTGAGCAAATATGGCTTACCAACCTGTCGCTTTGTGAAAATTGTGAAATGTGCCATTGCAGGCTGGTTTGTTGGCATTCATTGAACAGTCTCAGATGTAAGTTGGAGCCCTGTAATCGTTATTAAGCCTCTGCTTACAGAACCCAGATGAGGGGAAAAAAATCTTGTGGCTGATGAGCACACTGATGCTTCAACAAACAAATGTGCACATTACTTTTGTTTTACTTTTTATTTGTATTGCATTTGCAGCTAGGAGAAATCTTTTTTAGAGAGGTCAGAGTTTGGCTAGCAAGTGGCTGCTGCCGATATATTGCATGCCTTTTATAATTATTTTCCTTATTTTGTACGCAGCGATTTAAAGGGGGCTAGAAAGTTATGAAAATGGACAAGTTGTTTTGTATGGTGCACTGGTAAACTCCTGCCTTGTCGGTTCCTGTTTTTCACATTATTCATCGGCCAGCAGACTCAGCAGTTTGATGGTCAGGGATTAACAGAAAGTTGAGAATTACTGGTAGGTAGTCATGGCTTATCTCTCCAGAGCTGTTTAAGGTCACTGGAAGCTGTTTACACAGCTGTGGTGTGGGTGGCTGAAATTAAAGTTTTTGGTTAGAGAGTGTTCTCAACTGAAAACCACCAAAAGTTATTGATGGGTCGTGTTTTCACTCCTTTGTACAAATGATTTTGTCTTTGTTTCAAAAGCTGAATTCATTTTTTGGAATTTGTTGAAACCATTATGTGTCATTTTTTTTATCTGTTGAGAGAAACCATTGACCATAGTTACAAACCATATTTCTCAAGAAGTCAAATTGTTAGCTTTCAGAGGCTAGCATGGACTTTATCATAGCTTCATAGCTTCGGGAATATTGTTTCTTTTATACAAAGCCTCTTTGAAAACCGTTAAACTGCATCTCTGAAGGACATATCCCTTTGAAAGTTGCTTTTTTGTCAACAAAAGGAGACTCCGTGTTACGTTTCATGTGCAGAGCATACACACACTGCCAGGGGGTCAATTTTCGGAGCCACATTCTGCAAAGTCCATTAAGTGGAGGGGGGTCTGTGAAGGGTCTGATCTGGCATTTAACTACTGCAACACATGGCATGCCCGCTGCATGCACGCTGCATGGCGTCTACATGCAAAGGACATTCTCAGAGTATGGCTTTTTTTTTTTTTACTGAATGTTCACATGCAGACCTGTTAACACCTTTGCATGAGAGAAAATGCACATTATGTGGTTTGTTGACGAAGAGGTGGCATGAAATATGCCAAGCAGTAGCTTTCCAGTTTTGTTCTTCCATTGCATGTGATGTTGTCAAGTAATGAAGTATGGAGTCCCAGTGAAGACCCCCTTTTTTATACTTGAGACTAAAATAACTGCCCTTTGTTTTTGAATGAATAGGTACATGTATATTGTTTCCTCATTTACAGCGAATGCGTAGGCAGGTGTTGCGTCTTTTTTGCCGTGTCACTGAATTCCTTTCCAGTCTTGCTCACGGCCGGACCAGCCATCCTTCTAAATGTCGCCAAATGAAGAAAGTAAGGTCCAGTGTGTTGGGGTGGGTTGGGCAGGGGGATTGGGGCGTGCGTGTTCATTTCTGTCTCCTTTGCATATGGTATAGTGTACAGACTCTATCATATTTTTGCAGTGATTAATCTTGCACAGGTTTGCCATATTAGAATGAAAGCGAGGCTGAACTTGCTAAACAAACTATTCCTTTGAGTTAGCGCTTTGCTATAAGACTCCACTCAAGTGGTCCGAGCTTCACTGCCAGTGCAGCCTTCCTCTCGTCCTAGCCATGCAAACCCTGGACTGGCATTGAAAGCCTGTAACTCTTTAGGATGCAAAGGAAAGGCCCACATTTGGCATTTGGTTTGGAGAATTATTGTTGCCTGCCTGAAATCCTGAGAACAGTATTTCAAAACTAAAGTTTGGATAGGGTCTTTTTTCCTCTAGGTAGAAGAAGAAAGTGGTATTTAGTGGTGTAAAACCTTTTGGTGTCCAGCTTTATTCAGTATCTGAAATGTTGGGAAAGTCAGGCACCTGTGAAGTACATGATATCAACAGTTTTGATTTTTGGAAAGCGATTACAGCAACATCCGGGTTTTTTTCAGGTTTACTCTCTGTTTATGATATTCAGTCATTTCTCTCAAAACTAGTTCGCCAACTGAACTGAACTCCAGTGACCTGACCCACCCCTGCTGCCAAAAAAATTACTCCAAGACCCTCTTGACTGTGGGAAGTGGATTCATGCCAATTTTATCTGCTGGAACTTATCCAAAACAGTTTTCTATAGCCAAAACATGTGCAGTTTCTGTGCAATCCTATGTAGCTTGTAAACTAACTTAAAAAACTGCCCAGAAATTTGTAAATCGTAACCAATTTTGGGTAAACAAACATCAACACCACAGAGTAGTACTCCTCCATAAATGTGTGCTCTGCTTCAGCACGCACTCGGTGTCATGCGGCACGTACTTGGTGTCATGCGGCATGTACTCGGTGTCATGCGGCACATGCTCCGTGAATTGTCGTTTTCAGAAATTGACCGTTTCCTTAATTTAAACAGTTCAAACGAGTTTTAAGAGCATCTTCTAGTTAAGTCACATATTTACGGGTGAATAGAATCATTTTAGACCTTTCAAAGCGTTTTATCCATGCTATATTGACAAAATGCACATGGGTGCTACTCTGTGAAAACGAAAATCGTTTGATTATGCATCAGTGTACGATGTGCGCATGCACACAAGTGCTACTTCATGAAACCGAAATTGCTGTAAACAGTTTTCAGGAAGTAGCAAGCAAGTGCACTTGAGTGCCACTTCGTGGTGTTTGTGATGAAATGCTATCTGAGTGAATTTAAAGTTGAAAGGTAACAACTGTGTGTCCATAATAAATGAAGCAAATCAAGTACTGTCTGAACACACCATAGCATAGTCACTAAAAAGATATATCTTGCCATCTTGACCATTGAGTGTACCGTACTAAACACCAATTGGGATTCCATCTCCCACCCCATCCAACCCCCAAACCTCACCCCCATTTTGTATGGGACAAACCACACTTCCTGTTAATTCTGAAATGGAAAAAACATTAAAGAATTACTGATCATTGAATCTTTCCATGAAATGTCACCAATCAAAACCTCCCTATAATTTGTATGAGCCTCTCTCCCTTTCTGAAAATGACTGAGTTTAAAACCAAATTTAGCAGCAAACCCAACTTACAGACTTTTCATTATTATGTACTTTCTGCCCTGTGGCTACTCCATTTCTCTGATGGACATGTTAACACCTCTTGACAGCTGCTGTTGTTGCCTTGAGTTTATAGAACTCCTTAAATTGTTTCTGGGAATGGACTTGAGGATTCTGAAGTGTTCTCACAGCCTTGATACTGTTCGGATACAAAGGATTGCTCTGTCCATCTGTGTGGCTTCCAAGCTAATGTGAAACCACAGAAAACTTGGTACACATGAATGTGATGGGCCCATGAATCACCCCTTGACTTTTGACTTCTGACTCTTTGGGTATCCAAACAAAGTGATTCTCTCAGTGCAGTCACCGCAAGTCTGCACATACATGCAGAGGCTTTATCTGTTTTGATGGACAAGAGGAATGTAAGTTGCTGATGTGTTTGTAACCATCTCCCATTGGTACCCGATGGTGTCTTTTCCAGATGACGAGAATCGCAGTGGAGCACACAAACAGAAAATGTCATTGTATTGCAGTTTTTAACAGGTGGACAAGACATCTGGATATTTCAATATAGTATTTCTAGAATTTTGTCTGATTCAAGCCCCAACGCAATCTTCAACTTGGCCATATTTTTTGTTTTAGTTTATCCATCCAGCCATCTTTTCAGGGTTCTCTCTGTTCCTCAAATTCCTGTTTCTCACATGCTTGGCTGTATTTCTTATGTTTTCCTCGGCCCAGTGTTTTTCCCTTTTTTTAATGAAATGATTACCAAATGTTAATATCTGAGGTTAATCTAATTCTTTTTCTGTGTACAATCATACATATTTTCTGGTTTGAGCTGAACTTCTTTCTTTCATCTTTTTTTGCTTTAAGTATTCCGTCTGGCCTTCCCTTCGTTGTCCTTGTTCCAAACATGTAAACATTTCTTTTATGTCAGTTAATTCAATTTTTTTTACTCCTTGGTGTGTTCTGGAAGACTTGATATTGCTTTCCTGTTGGCTAATTGTATCAGGTCCAAACTTTGATTGAGGACAAAATCGAAGAAATTGCAACTAGAAATCTGATGTTTTCACCCCAAAAATATGAATTCAAAAAGTGTTGCAATGGGAGCCCTTTAAGATCTTCATTTATCCCCATTGCTGGCTAACAGTGTTTTAGAAGAGTCCATTAAAAGTTTCTGCTAATCCATTATAAGTCAGTCTTTTTACTTAAACTATGGGTTCCTAAGTCGTGTCTCTGGTTTTCTGTGATGGCATATTCAAGGAATTCAAGAATCCTTTTGGCAGTTTTGGAAAATTTCCAGGAGGAATCAGGGCTGAAAAACAATGTGGTTGAACGTGAAAAGTGAAGCCAGGTTATTCTCCTCGACAAAATATCATCCACCCTGCTAGTCCATTATAAGTCAGCCAGTCTAAAGCTAAGTCGCAAGCTTTTAGAATGAACTTTCACAAAAGCATTCCTTTGTCATTGCTCGTTCTATTCCTTGTGGCTAGGACTTGTGATGGACTCAATTGCAACACTGTACTCTCTCTCATCGAGTTGCCAGCCTGTTTGGAAGTGTTTTTAGAGGTTGTTAAAGAACAAGGAATTTGTCGCTATGAACATCTAACTAAAGAAACACAGGTTACTAACAATGAGTAGCCATTGTTATGACACCGTGCTTCTTTTGTTAGATGTTCCTAGTGTATGAGGCTCCCCTACCCACACCTAACCTCTCTTAGCCTTCCAACACCCCCCTCCCCGCTCATCATACCACTCGTCACACCACTCGTCACACCACTTGTCACACCACCTAACCATGGGCGGCATTTGGGAAATTTAACCCAGTGCCACTAGACACTTTGGAGCGAAAATCATGAAACAGGGTCTGAAAGATATCGTGCATGTATTTCAAAAATATTCTTTATCACCAGAACTTTTTGGTTATATCATTTACCCCACTCTCTTGTTACTACTTTGGGTGAAAATGGAAGTTTTATCACAATGTGGCACGGAGGGGTCATACCAAGTTTAAATCTGTACTTGTTCTCTGTCACTCGGTAAATCTTGAAGTGTTGTGTTTTCTTGTATCTTTCTCTTTTTAGCCGGACGATAATCAAGCTTGCTATCAGCTGTGGTGTATTGATCCATATGACCCGCAGTACTGCCGAACAAAGAAAGGGCCACCATTGGATGGATCGCCGTGTGGGCTGGACAAAGTATGTCCAATCAGTCTCACCCTCAGCACGCTCACAATTTGGAGCTTACAAGTTTAAGTCCAAAAATTGGCGAATTGAATACAACAGTTTTCACAGCCATCCCATGATGCTCGACTTTAGAGGTCATCTTATTTGCATACATTAGCATAAGTTAAGAGACAATGTTGTGTGGACACTCCTCTTGACCACAGCACCAGCAAGGTTGGAATGCTGGGAGCCAACTCACTGGGAATTGTGTGTACTGCCAAAACTTAGTATACCCAGCAAGAAATGTGACCGAGGGGTACCCCCCCAACATGTCCAATCCCTATACACATTCCAGACTATTGTTTCTTAACACATCCCCCCAAGATGTCTGAAAGGAATTCCCCAGATTCCTGCGAGACAGTGACCAACACAAAGCAGGGGGGGTTCTCTCTGTCTCATACCTTGCTGCATACGAAACTTAGTCTTGAGGGGATAGTTCCTGGAAATTTGCAAACAGTGAACATGGTTTCAATCTGGCTAATTTGCATCAGCAGGTTGTGTGACATCATTCCCTTAATTTCCTTTTTTAATACTGACCAATCGTAATTGTGCACTTTTGAATTTGTATTTGCTTAAATGTATTCATCTGGCAATCAGTTGTAACTGGATTTCCTCCACAGCATTGTATCCAGGGAAACTGCATCTACAAGGACATCGGGAGACAGAACGGTGAGTGGAGTAAATTCTCCCCCTGGAGCGACTGTACGTATCCGTGTGGTGTTGGTGTTCAGGTCAGAACAAGGACATGCGATAACCCACCGTAAGTTTCTCAGATAATCTCATTGCAAGGGTGGATCCAAATTTTTTTTGGGGGGGGAAGGGGTGGCAGAAATATATGAATTTCTTTATGTAACCTTTGGAAGTATCTCAGGGTTGAGGCTAAATTTTACGAATGTTTAAATGCTTTTGGAAGGTAAGGAAATGAAATAGCCCCCCAATACCCTTTTCTCCCTTTTTTTGAAAAAAATTGCTACTTTTGAAGTGTGCAAAGTCTCCCTCCCCCCGGTCCAGTGCTACCCAAGAAATCCATAGCAGAACCCTGCCTGTCATTCATAAAAATGTGAAATATTGTGCATGAGACCCTACAAGTTAAATGTTCTCCTTTTTAACGGGTGTGGAAAAATTTCTTGATTGCTCGGCTGCAAGCGGCAGGACCTGAGATTTTATCCAGTAAAGTCATTTGAACTTTTCATCTTGGTCTGGGCTTAGGAGAGGTGAATGCTGTAATAACATTTTTCTTTTTCATCTGTAGACCAACCAATGGCGGCAAAGATTGCAAGGGGGAAGCTTACGAGTATCGTCTCTGTAACAAAAAGGTCAGGGTGACATGAAAAAAAAAAATCTCCATCTTTACTGGACTCCCAAGTTTGATGCGCTCAACATGCTAGTTGATTATGAGATTCAGGCCGCAAACTCTGACAGAAAGGCTGTTTGCAAAAATATTGGAAATGTACCATTCTCCCTTCCCCAATGGCCTCAGACAAGGTCCCATGTACATCAGAGATTTTTACAGTCACTTCCAGCTGACAAAATTCCCCCCCCCATGTAAAATCCATTTATAAAACATGTTACATGTACAAGCCTTTAGAACTGTCAACGTTATCTTTCAGCGGAGGTCATTATTTTTAACAGGTTTTGACAGAATGGCTTTTCCTAAGGTTGGTTGTGTTTTCCAGTGTGACAAACTGAAGTTGGTGCAACGAAATGATGCAAAATGATTGTGAGCATACTTTCTGTATTTGTTTCAGCCCTGTGTCGGAGAATGGGAAGACCGACGGGCTAAACAGTGTGAAGACAATCTGGGAAGCTTTATTCTGAGAGGACGACAGCACAGGTGGCTTCCGCACGAAAACCGAAATCGTAAGCAATTGTACCGCAGATACCTTAATACAACAGTAATATATTTTATCAGAATCACGTCTGCCACAGGCCTTAAGAACACATGAATGTTGCCAAACAATTCTAGTATTCCCTCTGTGCCTTTAGAAATTTAGCAAAAAACAGAATTCTGCACGTGCTTCAGATGAGCCCTCCAAGCCAGGTGCAGATTTCTTCCTCAACGATCAAGCAGTGATCAATGATTTCTTGATTTGTTTGTTGCCACAGAAACACTGCAATGCAGACTCACCTGTATCTCAGAGAGCACGCAAGAGGCCGTCATCGCGGATTATGATGTGACGGACGGCACGCCCTGTTCCTATGACGATCCCCACAGTATATGTGTACAGGGCAAGTGTTTGGTACGCACAGTTTGTAAATTTTAGTGGCGTATCCGGGGCTTGGGCTGGGGTTGCTGGGGGGGCAAAGTGGAATTCTTTCTAACAAAATCAATGACTATTCAATGTTTTCATCTTTGAAAGAATCCTTGAGCGCCCCATTCTCCAAAGAAAGGTAGTTGTGCCATTTTTAAAATGCTGGCCTTCCCAGTCCCTTGAAAAAACTGGAAACATGTCACTATGGGAACGGCGGCTTGAGAAGAAGACGATGGCAAACTTATCTTAGCGGAGCCTCCTTAGCGGCTGATAAGAACAACAGTCCCCCAACCACTGACAACCTAGTCAGTGGCCGTTGTCACTGGACAAAATTTGGGAGTCAGTCGCCTGTGGCGATGACAGCGATGGTCATTGTCTTCTCCTTTTTTGTCACACCTGCAGAAACTCGGCTGCGACAAGCAAGTTGATTCTACCAAAGTGGAGGACAGATGCGGAGTCTGTGACGGAGATAACACACAGTGCACCTTCATTGAGAGGCATTTTTCTCAAGCTCCAAAAAAAAGTAAGAGATACAGAAATTTAAAAACACACAGAATTACAGTTCAATTATTCCCAGATCAATTTTAGTCTTCCTGTACATGATTTTAATAAATGGAAATTCATTTTTTATGTTATTTTTCTATATGTATAACTTTTGTGTATAATGCACACACGGAAACCAATTTTCATGTTTTTTACATGACGATGTAATAAATGAAATGAAACGAAAATTTTATATTTTCAGTGTATATTTCTGTGTACAGAAATATTTTTTGGTTGTTTTATTGACTGAAAACGTTTTGTCTGTTTTTTTCAGAATATCAAGTCATACACACCTTACCTATTGGCGCCCGCTACATTGATGTCCGTGAGAACTCGCAAACAAATAGTTTTCTTGGTAGGTACATAACACTTTCTTAGCTTTCACTTGTAGTTCTTTTCTTTCTTTTTTGAGTCATTTTTATTTCAGTCATGATGTATTTACTGTTGAGATTTTTAACAGTTGTCACTTTAAAAGAGATTGAAGATCCACATTGTTGCATCACAAGTAGTCATCATCTCCTTAGACTAAATTTTTTCCCGATTTCTTTTGGTTAGCCTTGCGGCGTCCAGCTGGGAAGGTATACATCCTGAACTCCCGTGGCACCCAATCTGGCCCGCACTCCTTCATCGGGGCTGGAGCTCGTTTTGTTTACTCTCCTGATACGGAACGACTGTTCTCTGTGGGTCCCCTTCGAGAAGAACTGGATTTGCTGGTAAAGTTGATTTGTGACAAGGGTCAGAGTGGCTTCCTCCGATATGACTTTTCTCGGTATTGACCAACAGATATGACATATGTTGCAAAACAACTGAAGTTAATGACCTCCAGGACTGAAAAGTATTTGTCAAGGTGCTCCTCTCTTGGTCATGTGTGGCTCTTTCTTAATGTTAAGTTTATGCAAACGGCAAACATGGTTCCACTCTTGATTCTGTTTGCTGAAAAACAAATTACTTGCTGTTATGCTTTCGTTTCCTATTTATCTGAGTTTTCCCACCGTCTGATTTCTAAGTTGGTTGATTCGCGCTAGGTTTTCTGGAAGAGAAACAGCAAGCCCATTGACATCACCTACAGCTACTATCTCAATCAAGAGGAAGGGCTCACACCCCAGACCGATCCCCCGCCGACCTCCGAGCAGCCCGAGGTGGTCCCCACTGTGGGCGAGGAAGAGCCCGAGTATGTGTGGGAGGATGAAGGCTGGACGGATTGCACCAGGACGTGCGGTGGAGGTGAGAGTAAGAGGGTGCATAGCGTCCACCAATCGAGAGGCAGCGCAATGCCACGAAAGTCCTCAAAGTGAAAATCATCACAATCGTTACCATTCCAAAGGATTTCTCATCGTCACCCACGGTTCTGCAGTTGGTATACTTAAAGATTAAAAACCTGTTGAGCACAATGAATGTTTTTAATTGCAGAGGTAGGAGGAAAAAGTTGTTCTGGATAAAAATCCCATGGAATAAAGTAGAGACTGAAAACCTAATCCCCATATCGGCCTCGTTGGGATTCGCACCCGGTTTGCAGAAGTGCAAACGAAAGTCCACGTACCACTGGGCCATCCTGAGTTTTTGTATGCAATTAGGGAAAGACCAGATTTTAGATTTGACGTCAAAAATGACAGCTGCAGACCGTCTTCTGCAACGCTCTGACTAATGGAGCAGAACTGTTAAACTTCAGTTCTGCATGCAGTAGTTTTAGAGCCTTTGGTTCCCCATAAACAACAGCAACCACAAACAGAAAGGAAAATTTATATTGACAGAAAATCTTGCATTGACCCACCTGACCCTTCGCCATTTACCAACTTCATACTCTCTCCATCTCTGTTTCTCTTTGTAGGATTCTCTTTCCACCAGTTCAGGTGCTACCGCACCAACGATAACGTCAGGGTTAAGAAGACATTCTGCGGTCAAGGGGATTACAATCCCAAGGACACTAAACGTTTGTGCAACGAGCAAGCCTGTGGAAGCACGTAAGATCCGCTCACCATCAGCCAGCGGGGCCATTAACAAATGTTTTTATACTATTCTTGAAGCTGGGTGGGACAGCCCAACAGTTGTTGGTCAAGTAGTAATTAGAAGATGCAGATATTGTATCTTTGTTGGGCGGGGGCCTGGCTAGTCTCACTTAATTTCATGAGCAAGTTTTACCGTCGGGGCAGTAATCGATGTAGGATTTATGCCTACAGAGATCCACACAGGAGCTAATACCTACAGTATGCATGTGCATCGTGCGTAACTTACACAAGCTCTGAATTTTTGATGTCACCACGCAGACCACGTGATAAAGTCTGAGCATCGATTGAATTAATCCTTCAAATTAGCTGTTCTCACCTTTATTTGATGAAGCAAATCCTGAAAATACTGCCAATTCAAACACAAGAAACCTCTGTTGGAGAGGAAACATTTTCTGGCAGAGTGTATGGCCCAAGAATGTTCCCATCTACTTCTACATCTGGAGGAATACCCTCAAGATGTTCAGTTTGATCGATCAAACCGCAAGTCCGCAGTAAATCCACTTTGATGCATGTAGTGTTGCTTTATTTAATTTTTTTTTAGGTTGACCACTACTCAAGCAGCGCCTCCTACCACCGCACCGTCCACTCAGCCTCCAACCACAACAGTTGCAACGACACAGAGACAAACTACCAAACCACCCACAACGACACATCGTACCACAACTACCCCACAGACAACTCAGCCACCAACAACTACACAACCTCCCACGACTACGACCCAGGCGTCACCGACAACTTGGCCACCAACAACTACACAACCTCACACGACTACGACCCAGGCATCACCGTCAACTCAGCCACCAACAACTACGCAACCTTCCACAACTACGACCCAGGTGTGGACTACCACGAGTAGACCGACGACGCAGCTACCCACTACAACCACAACAACAACACCAACCCTGACCACCACGATTATGACCGAAGCCCCTGAGCCCACAACCAAAAAGAAACCGAAAAAGGGGAAAAAGAAGGCGGTATTCAAGTGGAAGGCCCACCCGTGGCGACCTTGCTCCCACACCTGCGGGACCCAGGGCACCCAGATCCGTACGGTCACCTGCTCCAAGAAGTTAGGCAAGAAGATCTCCACTGCGCTGGAGATCAAATGCACAGAGGAAAAACCTGCTACAACCCAACCCTGCAATCGCGAACCGTGCCCTGCGCAATGGAGTGTGGGCGAATGGTCAAGTGTAAGTTTTCAGCCAATTGTTGGAACCTTAGTGCAATACTTTTCACAAAGTGACATTAACCTTTGCTAATTAAGTTGGCTAATTCTACCCTGTTTTCATATTAATAACTCAGGTTAAGTGAACGATTAGACATCAAAGAATCATTTAATGGATTTTTGTTACATGAAGTTGTCACAAAATACATATTTTGGTAGTTTGGTAGGAAAAACTTTTCTGACAACTTGAAAACCCGTTTTTCCTCAAAAGCCACATTAGCGTCACTTGGTGGTGACGGTGACGATATGAAATGATTGCTCATCAATTGCCCACTTGTGCGACCGACTATAAACCAGGCTTCAGCCTACAAAGCGTCCATGAAGTAACACAAGTAGCTTAACCA